TAGTTAGAGTCTTTAGATAATTTGCTTACAGACGAGATTGTAGGAAAGTTTTGGAACATGAAGAACAGATTTAAGATCTATTCTTTTTGAGATTTTTATTAATCCTTTACCTGCAATTAACGAGAAAGTTCCATTTGGAATTCTAACTTTTTCATTACCAAAACATAGGGTATAAGAATTGAACAAATTTAAGGAATTAGTCATATGGTCAGAAGCATCAGAATCTATTATTCATGGAGCAAAAAACATAGTAGAGCATTCATTCTAGTAATTTCTTTACCTGTGTGTGCAATAGACATTAGGAATACCTTATGAGGAATTGGATTTTAGCAGTGCAAAAAGATGCTCCATTTGTTCTTTTGTGAAAGGGCTGGATTTAGCTTCTTTTGTGCTGGAGGCTGCATATCTAGTTTTCTCACTGAGCTTGGATCCCTTCCAATTTGTCGGTTTGCCATGAATCTTCCAACAGGTCTCCCGGGTGTGACGGGGCTTAGTGCAATAATCACACCAAAGCTGAGATTTGTCTTGTCGTTGGTATATCAAATTTTTGCTCGAGTCATCCTAACTTTGCTAGTCACCTGTTCTCCGTTGGTACGTAATCAGCCTGCTTGAGTTTTCTCCTACGGCAGTAAGAGCAGATTCTTCCACCATAATATTCGGCCCCTTCTTACCCAGCATCACATTCCTCCGACTCTCCTCCCTCCTAACTTCTGAGAATACTTTACCAATATGAGGTAGTGGTTGTCTTCGTATGATTCTCTCCCTTCAAACTCAATATTGAGACCTGCAAGAAACTTAAAAATTATGTTATCCTCCACCACCTTCTTGTGATGACGACCATCTTTTGCATATTTCCATTCATAGGTGTTGAACAAATCAAGGTCTTGCCATATCCGTTTCAAGGAGTTGAAATACTTGGTGACACTATCCTCCCCTTGTCGTATTTCACCAAGTTTTAGAGTCAACTCAAATATTTAGGATTGGTTTCCCAAATCTGAATACATTTGATTCACATTCTCCCATAGCTCTTATGCAGTTGGATAACACATATAATTAGAGCTAATGTCTTCCTCCATCGAATTAACCAATCATGGCATCACCATGGAATTCTCGGCATCCCATGTAGCATATGCGGGATCATTCTCCACAGGAGCCTTCTTTTCACCAGTCAAATATCCAATCTTCCCACGACCTCGGATATATATACGAACCGACTACGACCAACGTAAGAAATTATCACCATTTAAACGGATGGTGGTAATTTGAACAGAATGAGACTCAATTGTTGCAATGGTTTTTCGGTGGGTTTGGAATAGGGGTGACTTCTGAGGTAGGTTTTCTGCTTGACTCAACAGAGGTTTCTGACATTGGGTAAGGAGAAGAACAAAAGAAGAAGAAGGAGAATCAAGAATGGAGTAGGTCCCACTTTGATACCAACTCAGAAAAATAGTGAAAACAAAAAGAAAGGCAGAGACAAAAAAACGTGTGAGGGGAATACTCAGATTTCATTGTATCATACACTTTATAGGAAATACAATTCCATTAAATCAAAAAATACAATCACTGATTTAAGGAAACAAACCGAGAAAAAGAAATAAGTTAATTAGTCTACTGTCCTAGAATATAAATATTCTTTCTATGTTTATAAATATTCACAGCTATACATAATTAGCCTATACATAGTCAATATCCGGCCATAATCTCAGAGGATATTTTCTCTGATTTTCCACATAACTATCTACATTTGATTGCATTGGACCGTAATTTTTTTTTTGAAAAAAATTTCTTTGTAGCAAGATACTTCATACCCCTCTCCCACTCTCTCTCTCTCTTTTCATTCCCCACTTGGTCATTCTTAGTTTCCTTTTTACTAACTTTATAATGTAATTTTTTTTATCTACTCAAACATTTCATTTGTTATGATGTTTTTTTAATAATTTTTAGGGATCAATTATCGTGTCATCGTTGCTAAAGGAAAAGATTATTTTTATGGTAAACATGACTCTTCCCATCTCTATGATATTCATCATTTACAAGGCAACTCAAATTTTGAGGTTTAATGTAATAGCTCAAATATGAAACAAGCTTATTTCTTTCTAAAGTTTTTCTTTTAAATAAGTATGCAACGTTGAGCATGCACGTGCTTCGCACGTACTATCTCCTAGTAACTATATTAGAAGCTATCTCCTAGAGTTTTACTGTAGCTCGTCTCACATTTATATTGTTTAAAGTTTTCGTCTTTCTAATTTGTCGTTTTCAATTGTTTTTCCCTTCTTCAGATTGTACCCCTCTCTCCCCTTGAGTTCGCTTCTTTCTCCTCTTTCTTTTAATTTGTCTCTGTCTCGCCTTTTTTTCTTCTCTCTCTGTAACTCTTATATTCGTCTCTAATTCTGAATCATAATTTATAGTTTTTTACAGTATTTTTTTCATAAAAAATACACGTAAAACGAGAATAATTTTAAATATATAAATTAAACGTCCTCTTAATCTTCTGAGAATTTCTCTTTCATTTTCAATTCTGGTGAGCTTTTAAGAAACACAAGAATCCGACCCCACCACCTGGAGAAAAAAATAAAATCATAGCCAAGCAACGGGTATTTTCCTTATCTATCATCTTTGATTTGTGAGTTGTTTAACCTATTAGTCTACGTGGTTTCTTTAAATTTTTCTTTGAATATGTTTGTAATGGATTTAGTGATTGACCCTGAAAATTCTCTTCTAAATCTTTGTTTTTGTTTTTTGTTTTTTGTTTTTGTTTTTGTTTTGTTTTTTTGTTTTTTGTTTTTTGAAAATTCTTCTGAATCTTTGTTTATTGTAGAATAGTTAATACCTAAAGAAAATTGGAAAAGAGTAGTTGAATTCTTGTGATTTTGTTTTCAGTCATTAATTTCGTACACAGTATTGGTAGACTTTGTGAATCCGGTTTTCTTTCTTATTTTTTTTTTCCTCTGCTATGACGCGTTAGCTTCCTTCTTGCCTCTGGTTTAGAGCGTTGCAGCTTGCAGGTTGTTTGCTTTAACCTTTTTTCCCCCTCATTCTATTATTGTTATTCATGTCTTGTATTTGATTCTATTCTTTGTTCCCTTTTTAGATCTGTAGGGCTCAGCATTTATCTATTAAATGCAGATGTGAGATGAGTGTTGATTTTAGAGTGATGATTTTACCGATAATGTCCTATCCCTTATGCAAATGTTTTCAATATCACATTTCTAACCTAAATCTATAATTGTGTACCAACTGATGTAGTATGTAAGTTGTCATTTTTACATTAGTGAATGTGTTTAAAATATTATCACGTCAATTAATGATAAGAGATTGCATCTACCAATAAAAAAGATGTCAACTCTCACAAATCACGTCTGTTGGTACGCGAATTGGGATTTGAGTTAGTGTCTCTAGCATTAATTTAACCTTGAGCTGTAAGTTCGAGAAAAAATCCTTATTTCAATGTGATGACGCTATCCTTATTTCAATGTCTCTAGCATTAATCTAGGTCTTGAAAAGAATAGCGTCACCACCCCACCCAACGTGATGACGCTATTCTTTTCAAGACCTAGATTTTTTCATTTGGCTAGGTTCGAGAAAAAATCCCCAAATGTCGCATCTTTTTTAGGTATGCCTTCTTGAATCTCGAATACTAATTTGCACGCATATACTGTTTTCGTTCAATTTGATCCTTATTTCAATGTCAAATTTATGGTGTTATTTCGTAATGTCTTATTTTGTAGTTTGGGTTGATCGGAAAAATTGTCTTGTTGATTTCATGCTCTCTGGTAGAGACACATACCCAAACTCATGATTTCATGCTCTCTTGACAGCATCGCGAAGTCACCCAGCCCATATCACCCCTTTCCCTCATGACGACGAGATCTTCGCTCTCTGCAGTCACATGATTTTCTCACAATCCATGGTAGCGCAAACCCAAGTCCCCTCTCCATGGCGGCGTGACTCCCTCTGCCTCTCTTCAGCGCAAGCTCTGCAGTGTGAGTATCTGAGCGAGGCAGAGCTGGCTCGCTGTGGTTGGGAGTCGCAGTGGCTGGGCGTGTCGGCAAGGTGGTCAGGGTGGGAGAACTTCCATTTTTCGATGGAGAAAGAATATATATTATTTTGTTATTAAAATACTTTTTTGTGTTTAGACTAATTTAGTGCGAGCGAGACCACAAAGACCCTCATTGAGATTGAATATTGGCCCTTGGATCGTACTTGTTGGTAAGGGGAAAAAGCACCTCTACCATAAACGCGCCAATTTTGGTTATTTTTTTAGCATTTTTTTTTTGTTCTTTTCACATGTCAATTTTATTAATATTGTAATTTATTTACCCAATGGACTTAATCATACTCCCTCTCTAAGTGTGACGCCTATGAACCTATAATTACCCAATGGGCTTACTCAGCGAGCTCCCCTCGATTTCAAAACTGCACGGCGAACTCCTTTTGGCTGACAGTGCGCTCTCTCCCGAAAGTTTTAAATTTTTCTTCTGAAGAACTTTGGTTGAACTCCTTTCAACACTTCAAATCGTCTTCTCCTGAAGACTACAAATTCTTCTCCTGAAAAACGTAAAAAATAAATGCTCACAAAATGATATGACTCATTGGAATTTGAAGACTCAAAAGGCGTGCAGAAAATAAGCTACAAACTTTAGTTAAATAGCCAATCACAACAACTACACAACTTGTTGCAGAAATTTGTTGCAACAATTTATGCAAATTGCTGTCAAAACTGATATAAAAATAAATCACACAGATTCTTGAAGTCTTCCCATAAGCAGCACATGAACCTTGACGTGTTCCTTAGAAGCAAGAGATTCGTCTAGCAAGTTGAATCCCATCAATCAACAATTTTCCAAACTTGAAACAAATGTTGACTTTCACAAAGGAGGACTTTGTACAGTTTTCAAAAGAGTTCTCCAGCACATCACAATCCAATCAATCAGATTATTACACCCAAAATAATACCAATCACACAATCAATCAACAAATCTAGAAATCAAAACAAAGTGGACAATCAAATCACCATAGTTGACTCATCAAAATAGGAGACCCTATTTAAACGCAATTCGAAATCTCTTTAATGAGAAAGTCTGTAGCAAATTAATCACATTATTCCCAAACAATCCAAATATGCAAACATTCCAAAATAACGCCAATTTAAAATCCCCAACAATACATGATTGAAGATGATTCAGCCGTGGAAGGTGGTGACTTCAATAGAGGCCTTGGTAGGGTAATTAACAGCAGGAGCGTCATAGTTGCTGAAAAGCTTGTAAGAGGAGATGAGGGAAAGCACTGCATAGCAAACTACAACCACAAATGTGATAGCCACAGAAGCAGTAGCTTTGTGACAGAATGAGCCGAACGACGAACAAGCCGAGCTCCAAGTGATGGTGGCGTTCCCCTTGAACGCCAGGTATAGAACCTCCGTCGATACTGCTCCGGCGGCCAGTACTAAGTAAGTCATCACCTGTATAAGTAAATACAGGAACAGATTCCGAATTTTATTTTCATATATGTATAATACTTGATTTGTCTCAGTTTTACACTTTTTATTTTTATTTTTTATTTTAATTGTTTGGCCAAACGAGAATAAGAGAGTGAGGCGACCGACCTGATCAAGGACAAAGAAAGTCCAAGCTTGAGAGATTTTAGGGGGACGAGGCATTGCTGCAATGACTGCCGAAAGGAGGGAATAACCAGCACAAATGCCGTTCACATGTACCAAGTGCCTGCCCCAAATATTATTAATTGCTGTCATTGCTTATTTTCATCACTACTTAATCATGCATGTCTACACCTTCTCTACTCATTCGCTCTTCTAACTCAGCATGAAAAATAAATAAATAAATTAATTATCAGAATAAAAATAAAAATAAAAATAACATCGGCCTTCCTCATCATAATAATAAAATGCATGTCTATATATTTTATTATATATATATATATATAATAAAATAATTCCAAGTCTTATCTAGTTTAAATATGAGAACATACATAAAGTAATTATAAGAATATTACACCATTACACTAAACGGGTTAACCTTTTTAAAGACTCCAAATCCTTATAAGGCGCTGGCACAAGCCAAAAGAATTTATTTATTAAGCATGTGTATCATGTTGTAAGTTTTAACTACTGCCCCCTAAGTTGTAACTTTTAACCAATATGGTTATTGTTAATATGATTCATTTTTCTTTTTCTTCATTTTTTCTCACAACTCTTTTCCAGTCCCAAAACTGTTAAGAGCATACTCTCCCGTCTTAAACTTTTTTTGGTCAAATTGAAATTCAAACAATTATATTAGAATATAAATTATAAATTGTTATACGAATCAAACATAGTACTTATAATACATGGCTTACTCAATTCTAAGAATATATTATAAATTTATCTTTTTTCTTTTTTTTTTTAATTGTTCTACCTCGTAAAGTCATTGCTTCTATTTGTACCCCACTCCCACTGAAATTAAATCCTAATTCCGACACAGTTATAAGGTAAAGTTTTTAGAAATTCCAATTTCTACAATATAAGAGACTGAAAATTAATCTCTCTACATACACACATGCGACTAGAAGATGAAATTTTCAATTATTTGACAGTTTTTATTATGATGCTTTTTAATGAATATGTAAGTTCATTTGTCATCATGGAAAGGTCATGTATGTGCTGCAGCAATTACTAGAACCAAGAAAATAACAGAAACTAAAGAGAAATTTAGTCGTATAGCCAGACTAAGTATATAATCAGCAATGCTATCCTTATTATTTGGCCAAAAAGTTAAAAGAAACAAGCTGCAATTACAGAGTTGGAATATATATAATAATTAATTGTCTTGCAATCATGCAGGTTCATAAGCTTGGAATTTTCTCTTTAATATATAATTGGTTGAAACTCAAGGGATGCTGATCAATAATATTCTAGGTATTTTGATTATACATTATTTTTCATTCGTGTATTATGGTTAGTTTAAGAAGCAATATGATATAATATGATTATATGTATAAATATATATAATATATGAAGACGGTGAAATGTACAAGAGTTGAATTTGCATTACCTGAAAGCTCCAAGGTGGGTGTAGGAGACGGAGCCAAAGTCATTAGTCTGAGAGTTGTGAAGCATCACGACAAGCGCGGCGATGCAAGGCGCAATCGGAACCAACCGGAGCAACGTCTCGGCGGTGCGAATGCCGTTGACCACGCCGTCACTATTCCCGGCCGCAGCCTCGTCGACTCCTCTCATCGTCATCATCGGACATGGAGAGCTTTCTCCAACTGATCCATAATTAATTCCACCCTTTTCTCTCTTGTCCATCGTCGTCGTTAGTACTGATCTTTACTGTCTTCTAATTTTTTCTTCTTTAATTTCCGTTCTTCTCTCTTCCTTTGCTTTCTGTTTAGCTAAAGAAGGACCTGTTGATCCCACCCCCAGCTGAGTTACTTAATAACAATAATAATGGAGCTTTAATTAAATTGGGGGATGAGTGGTTGGAGAGCATTCAATGTCATCATGATCAAGACTGTCCACGCATTTCTATGTGCCACTCACCCTCTTCATTCTGCAATTGCATGGATAAATACTGTTGCTGAAATAACATATATATATATAGCCAGACAAGTTATGGACAAAAACCGTGAATTATGGACAATAACTTGTCAAGTTATGGTTCATAACCAGACAAATTATAAACAAAAATAATAATTTGGACTATTTATTAACTTATGTAAATTATTAGCCTATTAATTTTAATTCATCTCAAGTCTTGACCTATTTCTCTCTTTCTCCCATATATATATATATATATATATATATAGAGTTACTTGTCGGTTAAAACAGGCATTGTACTAGCTATTCCAAAAAAATAAAAGTTAGTAAAACGAGAGAAACAATTTCTAGTTGAGAACTTGAAAGTTTATTAAGAGAAAATACGATAGTAAAAAAGTTTAATTTAAATTTTTATGAGAAAATTGTTATAACAAAATATATATTTGAATTGTGATTGGATTTATGAAAGTAATGGGGCTAAATTTATTACTAAGATTTTTGTTTTGTTATAATCTCAACTATAATGTTACCGATATATGTATGTATATATAATATCACATTCACACGCTCCACACAAGCACATCAAACTTAATTCGTGATGTTGACCCAAATAAGGTCGCCACAAATGTTGCTCCAACCAATTTTAGATTAGTACGCAGGTCTTATCTGTAGGATCTTATAACAAGGGATCCATATGTTACTATTGTCTCTTATTTAACTGAAACATCTTATGATTTAATGGGACACATAGTGTTGACGGTCAGTTTTCATCAACAAGACTGCATCAGATTACCTCGTAGTAGCTCATTGGGTTACCGGCTGAAACGTGTAATTTAATTGAGTATTCTAAACACAGTGTCTATGTTTTTGGTGTATTGTGATGTGTCTTTGATATTGTGTGTTCATAGAAGTAAAAACGCATGTAAATTTTTATAGTGGTTCAGCCTTATAAAAGAAGAGCTACATCCACTGTATTATATTTCTCGTTTTGTTCTTTTGAAGGTTACATAAAAAGGATCTTCCTTCTATCTGGGGCTTTGCCCCCTTCTATAGCCCACGGATTGTATGTGGGTCCTTTCAGGATGGGCGGTCACGGGGAGTTACATGATGGTTTTCCTCAAGTAGCCTGTCACTCTATCAGCATAGACCGTAGCATTTTTAACACCTTTTAGACTGTTTACTCATCCAATTTGTCTCCTATCACGGCTCTGCAGATCCTAGGTGATCCCCATTGGTCCTCTCCAGGCGGTTTATGGGCAAGCAATCATTTCCCGTGTTGCTGACCTTTCCCAAGTCCAGACGCAACCTAGGGATTTTCCCTTGTCCGCTCAAGAGCCTTTATGGGGACGTGGACCCATACTTATGCGGTCTGCCCCCTATGTCCATACCATGCAAAATAAAGTGTAGACTCTTTATTTGTCGATCCTATCATGGTGCCTATGATGCGAGCGGGTCATGCCTCGACTGCATATAAGGTCGACGGTCTCATTAGCTTCATACAATCGACCCTTTTAGCATGTGGAAGGGAGACGAGTCCCAGTTGTCGACAGCTATTTGTCGTGGCTGACACCAGGCCACGTGGGGCACTACCGTTGTCCGACGTGTCAGCACACATTTTCCCACACAACAGCTGCCCCCTAAATCGAGACTTTTCTTAGGACTGCCTCGAGCTAGGTTGGGATTCGCTCTGGTGCTCTTTTTCGTCTCCTTCGGGTGTGGGAGCCTAACTCTGAGCATTTCTCGCAATAATGGCTCTGGCGCTCCAAAAATCCCTCGAGAAGTGTGAAAGTCACGTCGGTTCAATCATCATGCTGATGTGGACTTTCATTTAAACGGATGAACCTGGGCCATTGGATTGTGCCTTCTTAGCTTCCCGCCCTTCCCCCAGCTGTCGGATCGGATTCCTGTGCTTCCACCGTTGGATACGTACGTACCTGATCGGAAGGCTGGGGGCCAAGGGCTTTTGGTTACTATAAATAGTCTCTTCATGTGTCTTGAACCATTTTGAAGCAGCCGAAACTCTGTAAAAATTCCTCCAGGATTGTTCATTTTCTTCCTGCCAACTTGCAAAACTTCGGTAACATTTACCTCAAGAACTCTTGCATCCCTTCCACTTCTGATTTTCTAGTAAGCATTCCTCATCCCTCCTCTCCATTTTTGATGTGTTTATCTTGTTTAGGCTTACGGTAGATTTTTTGACTGGGGGGGAATGGTTAAAAATGGCATAATAGGGATGTTAGAACCTGATTTTGACATTTATTTGCAATGTTTTAGACTAGCTACGGGAGTTTCGAGTGAGTCTAAGTTCCTGTTTGGCATTTTGGGTTAGTTTGAATGATCGACGCCTCATTTGAGTAGTCGCCGTCTAGTTCATGTTTAAACTCGAACCATCATTGCTTACTTAACTGTCATCATTTTAACTTTGCTCGACCAAGCTTCCTTATCTTTTAGGCGCCGAACTAACTTCTTTTGCCCTCTTGACTTATAGGACTGACCCTAGATTTTTTTCTTCACAGTAATGACATCTAGAAGGAGTAAATGTCGAGGGGGACCGTCATCTGTGCCTCTTGTGAGGCCAGATCCATCGCCAGCCGCCAAGTCTTCCTCCCTTTCTACTTCCAGTTACCCACTCTTGAGGGAGGTCAAAGAGTACGTCCCTGGCCCATGAGATGATGAGGACAGTGTCGACCGTCTGGTCGAAGGCGAGGCCGAGGAGGAGGATCCTTCCACTTCCAGTGGCTCCGACCCCTTGGTTGGCGGTGTCATCTTTGGCTACAGCGACCGACATACTGGTGTCCTTATGGCATCAGTAGGGGCGGATGAGGATCGGCCACCCTTCACAGCTGACTTCGGGGAACCGAAGACATGGTAGAGAGATATCGTCCTCGCATATAAGAAGGGACGTGTGGACGGCCGATGGTTTGAGTATCTCCTCCTGGACCCCTAGTTTAGGGTGAGCCAACCACCCCCGGGATATATGTCTGTATATACCCGGGCCTTCACGGTGGGAATGACACTTCCCATACACCCATTCGTGAAGTCTCTCTGCGATCTCCACGGTATCTCCCCCACACAGCTGGCCCTATTTTTTTGGTATATTTTTGTCGGTATGTGGGTTCTTTGGGACCAAAGGTTCGACGTAGATCTGCCTTTGGACGGATTTCTCTATGTATATAAACTATGCTAGGTCCCTAAGTGCGACAGCTGGTACTTTTTAGGTAGTTACAAGCGATCCAAGCCTGTCTTAGGAAAATTAATAAAGGGGTTGCCATCGTCGTCACATGCCTAGAAGCCAATGTTTTTTATGGTGAAGGGTATGTTCGACGTCCACCCAACTGATAGGCCTTTCAAGCACCTAGGGGTGCAAACATCTTATGTTCTTACAACGCTGACCCTACACTATTATGTGCAGTTTCTCAGGACCGTCCTCAACTTTCTGGGAACAGGCTTGCAAGGGTGAAGCAAGCCTTCAGCTTCCCAGAAGCCTATCATCACATCGACACCCTATTGATGAGGGATAACTTGGAAAGTTATGGCCTTTTACTTTTACTCCCTCATCCTGCCAATACCGACAAGGTCAAAGATTTCTTTCACTTCATAGCCGGAGGTTAGTTCTTTATTCCTTGCCCTTGATTCCTCATCATATGTTGCCCATCTAAGTTCCTGGCTTTATTTGTGGTGTAGAGATGAAGACCCTGCAGCTGCGCGTTCCCGGCGACAAGGGGCGTTCAAAAAAGTAGAGACCTCGCGATAGGCCGAGCGAAGTTGCTAAGGCCAGTGTCCCGCCGAGGCCTCAGCCTGCGACAGAACCTTCAGCTACCCGGGAAACACCAAGGCCTAAAAGGCCTCGACCGGCTAAAACACCAGCGGTGGAGGCTGAGCCATTGCCAGTAATCGATATTATTGATGCTTCTGAGGTTCATCCGCCCAAAAAATGTCTGCTACTTCTCGAGGCAAGGGTTCTAGACCCGCAGTTCATCGTTGTTGATGTCCCCCTGCCCAGATTGAGGCGGCGCTAAATCTGCCACCGCGTTTCTCCATCGTCTTTCAAGCTCTATATGAGTCATTTTTTTAGCAAGACCGGGAGAGCGCTTCTCAGGCTTCTTTGATCGGCCGCACCCATCAGTAGATCTCTTTTCAGATTCATGTAAGATTCGTCGTTTATATATTATACTTATACATGTGTATATATATATATATATCTTTTCTAATAGATTTCCTCTGATTTGGCAGTCCTTTGTCCTCTCCCTCCTTAACTTTATTGACATGGTTAAGGTGGAGGAGAAGAGTAAGGGAATGGACAGCATTGAGGGGTGCCTGAAGACTCTTCTCAAAAAGGAGAGAGATAGTAAAGATGAGGTATCAAAGAAGCTTACCCTCGCGGTCAAGGAGCTAGAGACAGCAAAAGTTGATCTGGAGAATGCCAAGAAGGAAGTCGAGGTAAGTCGTAAACAAGCCGCTGATGCCAAGGATGCCTTCCGACAAGAGGGATACAACCTAGGCAAGCAGGACAGCTATGACTTAGGCAAGAATGAGGGGGTCAAGGAGTTTGTGGCCTCTGTTGAATTTGCTCGGAACAACGCAGAAGTTGCTACCAAGGCCGTCAAGGATTTTAAATCCTCTGACGAACTGCATGACATGCGTGCTATAACATATTGTCTATTGGTGAGCAACTTGTTGCTAGGATTAATAGGCATATCCCAGCCTGAACTTGGACTTCCTCTACGAGCCTCCTTCTGACGACCAAGGTTCGCCTGCTGAAGGTGAAGTTGGCGAGGGCAGCGGTGGAGCTGGGGAAGCTGCAGCTGACGATGGTGAAGGTGGTGGAGGTGACGAGGCCTAGGATGCTGGGCGTCGATTTATGATTTCTAT